GCTGTAGGAAATACCAGGTCTTCTTTCTTCAGCAACCTCATATGCCAAAATAAGAATAATCCTAAGGTTTTGTTCGATACCATCTCCAGCATCGTGTCTTCTTCTCCGCAGCAGGCTCAGCTTTCTTCAGCTGATGATTGTAACAGATTTCTCCACTATTTTGCAAACAAGGTGCTGAATCTGAGATCCAGCATTCCACCAGCCCTCACCCCTTCAGGAGGGGAGGCCCCTCAGTGCTCCGAGTCTTTCACCTCCTTCTCCCCAATTACACTAAATGACTTAACCTCAATAATCAGTCAGATGAAACTCTCATCATGCTCATCAGATATCTTAACTCCCTCTGTTTTAGTCGGGTCCCTTGCCTCTATCAGTCCATCTCTGTTAACTATAATCAACAGCTCACTGAGCCAAGGCTGTGTTCCATCTTACTTTAAAAATGCAGTGGTGACTCGTCTCTTAAAGAAACCCAACCTTGACGCTAGCTCCAACAGTAACTTTAGGCCCATTTCTAAGCTACCTTTCATCAGTAAAGTACTTGAGAAGGTTGTTGAAACCCAACTCAGATCCTGGTTTTCTAAGTCAAAGATCTCTGAACCCTTCCAATCTGGCTTTCTGAAGCAGCACTCAACTGAGACTGCTCTAGTCAGGGTGCATAATGACCTCCTGATGGCTGCTGATGCAGGGAAATGATCTGTCATGGTCCTGCTCGACCTCAGTGCAGCTTTTGACACTGTAGACCACAACATACTACTAAACAGGTTAACGGCCCTGGCTGGGATTTCAGGTTCTGCTCTAGACTGGCTCTCTTCCTATCTCACTAACAGAACATTCACAGTGAAGTCCGAAACCTTCTCTTCAGATACTGCCTCTCTAACATGCGGGGTCCCACAAGGTTCAGTTCTAGGGCCTCTACTATTTGCATTTTATATTCTTCCCCTGGCTGGCATCATTCAGTCTTTCCCAGACATCTCCTACCACATCTACACTGATGATATTCAGCTCTATATGTCCTTTATGCCACACCAGTTGGACAGGCTGGCCACACTTGTACTCTGCCTGACCCAGATCAGTAACTGGCTGTCTAGCAACTTTCTTGTCTTAAATGCTAACAAGACAGAGACCCTGATCGCTGCACCCCCGGAACTTCAGCCAAAAATCGAGCAAGAAATTGCCTCTTTTTGCCCATCAGCCAAAGCCAACATTAGAAACCTAGGAGTTACTTTTGATCCAGCTTTAAGTTTAGACTCACACGTCAAAACCATCTCCCGCTCTTGTTTCTTTCAACTGAGAAACATTTCAAAAGTCCGTAAACTGGTTTCTACTGCAGATCTGGAAAAAGTCATCCATGCCTTTGTGTCATCACGCTTAGACTACTGTAACGCTCTTTTTACTGGTCTCAGCAAAACCTCCCTCTCACGCCTTCAAGCCATCCAAAATGCAGCAGCCAGACTCCTAACCAAATCCAGCAGACGAGCTCACATCACTCCAGTTTTACAGTCCCTCCACTGGCTCCCGGTAGAATATAGAATTCAGTTTAAAGTTTTAGTCCTGACCTATAGAGCTCTTAACAACCAGGCTCCAAGCTACCTATCTGAGCTTTTATCCCCACACACCACCTCTCGTAACCTTAGATCCACATCTGAAAACCTCCTGGCTGTTCCTCGAACCAGACTGAAAACCAAAGGGGACAGGGCCTTTCAGACTATTGCACCCAGACTTTGGAACAGTCTACCTTCAAATCTCCATCTTTCTAACACTGTAGAGGTCTTTAAAAATCATCTAAAAACTCACCTTTTCATCTAGGCGTTCCCTCCCTAAATGTTTCAGAATGATGGCTTTGTTTGGGTTCACACCTTCACTTTGTTTATACTCATGATTTTATTTTCTACGTTTATCACTGCTATTGTTTTTCTGATGTTTTTATTGGTTAGAGGTATTTGCCCTGATCTTTATCATGTTGTACAGCGCTTTGTGATTTATATCTGTGAAAGGCGCTATATAAATAAACTTTTACTTACTTACTTACTTACTTTAGCAGCAGAGAGGGAGGTAGTGCCAACTCAGCGACTTTGTCGCTGTTCCTAACTCCTAGTGATGAACCTAGCTACATTTCTGAGGACCCTTAGCTACTTTCTGTAGAACTTTCTTCTAGATATTTCCTGCAAATTAGCAACAAAATAGTCATTTTCACTCTGAACCGTTCTTTGGATTGACGTTGTTTCAGCTGTCAACAAGGATATAAAAGTTACAGATACAATGAACGTCACTGGTGCTTTAACTCATTTAGTAAGATGTCTGACTCTCATGTAGGAGACATGGTTTCGAGTCCAGGGGTGAATAAAGTTTGTTATTTGGAGTTTCTTTTTTACATTAATGATAATTTTTTTACAGTAATAAGACGCCCACATTTTTATTTGAGACTCGCCGAAAGGCATTGAATTCATGGATAAGAAAGATGTGGGTTCAACTTTCATTTTGGTACAATTTTTCAAGCAAGGGAAGGGAATGGTCTGAGCATGCAGGAGGACTGACCCATCATAAACCTTTGTCAGCTGTGCTGAAGAGAAAGGTACAGAACCAAATTATTTAATTAATTAGCTGTGCATTATCTTGTCCTTTATCCTTCGGGCCACACACACACACACACACACACACACACACACACACACACACACACACACACACACACACACACACACACACACACACACACACACACACACACACACACACACACACACACACACACACACACACACACACACACACACAGGACTGTCTCAGCTGTTATTTTCGTTACGGAGTGTGCACGTACAGCATGCGCACCTCGTGCACGAGCCTACTATTGAAGCTGCCATTACGCTTTTGGCCTGAGGGGGCAATCGCGAGCATAAAAATACAAAAGTCCGAAAAGTCCCTTTAAGGACAAGCCCTGCTGTGCTTTTAATACAACATCTTCAAATGAATTCAAAATCTCACAGGTAGCTAGAGTTTAATTACTTAATGAGGATAATTTTGTCCTTTACTTAGTCTCTCATACAGTATCATAGCTTCAATTTTAGAGAAATTACTCAGAATTACACCAAGAAGAAATAGTTACATTTAGATTATTTGAAGATGGAAAGGTCCCACAAAAAGGTGTGGTTGACTGAAAAACCATTTAAAACATGTTTATTCTGATTATAATTGGCCACTCTGAGTTTTCATGCAGGCTGACCATGAAAATAGTCTCCTACAGCTATCTCCTGCGTTACAGTCTGATAGAAAATAGATGGTGAAATATTTTAATATCCTCACAGATCAACGTCACACTATGCTTTAGCATTCACGGACTCACCTATCTTGACTCACGAGAAGGCTGTTTTTGGTTTAACGTCCAGGAATCAGTAGGGAATGTCTCGGCAAGTTTAAGCTAACCATTAGCATTAGCAACTTCACTTCACAGCAGAACTCTTCCAGGATTGTGTTATTTGTGGAGATAAAACATACATGTTTCAAGTAGAAAACCAGTTTTTAAACAAACACCTGGCATAATGCCATTACATGTTCACCAGGAACTTGTGTTCTTTATTAACCAGCTGGATCTTTGTTTTAATTGGAGGCAGAAGCTTTTAAATATGAGGAATAATATGTTTCTGTCACACCTGGTGGTTTTTTTCTGCTGCTTTGAGGTTTGACATTTTAAAGAAACTCATAACCAAAAAAAGCTTAATGATCCATTTAAAGGTTATCCTGTCAGAATGGCTCTTGTGTTGTATTTTGTGTGGTGGTTAATCATGATTTATATAGAAACATGAAACCTTGTGATGTTTCTTCCACCTTTTTCCACTAGTTCCTTCTCCAATAACAGTGAAACTGAGAAACGGTCCCCAATTTAAAGAAGTGAGTGGATGCTCATGTTTTAGGTGGTTACGATACACACCAACAGGTGTAAAACCTGATTGCCAAATGAAAATACCCTGATAAATGGTCAGAGAGAGGCAGGTAGCCCTCCACCCCCACCACCACCACCACCAGATGTGTACTTGCTCTGGCTTTAGCCGATTAATTATCTCATAGTTTATGACACCAGGGTTGGTGTCCAGGCAATTGCATTACGCCACACACCCTGAGCAACCTGATCTAGGGGATTTGTTCCTGATGGACAGAGTGTGTTTGGACATGTGTTTGATATAAATAAGGGAGGAGTCTCTTTACACACACCGGCGACGTGTGTAGTGAAAGGGCAGCAAAGCAGCAGAAGTGTGAACTTTTTGTTCCGTCTTTTTTTTTATGTCTTTGGTAGCGTGAGCCTGATTGAATAAGATTTCACAGGCTGATTTTGTCTTTGTGCATTTTTTGGTTAAAGACGAAGACCCAGAGGAGAGGAACCACCCATCCACGCCCAGTTTTATGCTGCCTTATTTGCTCAAGCCTCTATCAGTTCCTGGTTATAGCCAATAGTAATAAAGGAAGTGGTCCCACTGTCACAGAAACAGTTGGCACGGAAACAGCACATTACACCATCATCCAGTCTCCCCCACCCTGCCCCCTTTCCCTTTGTCGTCATTTATTCCCCTCCCTTCCTCTCCTCTGCTCTCCTCTCCTCCTGCCTTGTGTGCTTTTTTTTTCAGTCATCAATGAAATCACAACCAACCCTGCTGCTGGTCTGTCATAAAGCACGTTACACCCAGAAGGAGCAGCTCTGCTCCCCGTTGCACCTTCCTTCTGTCAGTCAGGAGCTCAGATTCCTTAACTACCAATGCATTTTTAAACACTGAGAAACAAAGATGCTGCAGCCATCAAAGTGTGTTTTCTCTCTGCAACTCTCATGATTTAATCCTGACCATTTCTCCCCCCATTCGCTCCCCTCTCTCTCTCTCTCTCTCTCTCTCTCTCTCTCTCTCTCTCTCTCTCTCTCTCTCTCTCTCTCTCTCTCTGTCTCGCTCTCACTGCTGACTCCTCCCTCCATTTCTGTCATGCACTCCCTCTCTCTGCCTCTGTCTTTGACACACTCAAATACACACATATATACACACCCTCCACCCCCATCGCTGCAGTGTCTCAACTGCCTTGGAGCAAGCAAGAGAGGATATAGAACACAGACGTTCAGAAGACAGAGGAAGAGGCCCACTGAAACACATCCACACACACATACACACACACACACATATGCAAACATGCACACATATTTACAGACACACACACATACACACACACACAAAGATGTGCTCGTGTGTGAGAGCCAATGAAGATGAGGATGGTATGAAGATTAAGCGGAGGCACTAGAGGTGCATTGCACAGAGGCGTTCTCTCCCAGCAAAGGGCTTGTCTGCAGTCTCCTGTATAAATGGATGCTGGATTGTGAGCACGGTAAGCTTGAATATTCTTATCTGTTGATTTTTTGTTTTCAGTTTTAATCTATGACCCTGCAGGATTAGGTTTCATTGTGCTCGTATTGTGAACACCGACTGATAAATTAGGGAAAGTGATGTTCAGGGATGGCACCAAGGCAGCCAGGAAGGCAGGCAGCCTGTCCAATCCCCTCCTCCACCCTCTTAGCTCAGTGCCAATGGACGCCGCTATCTTACGCTTTGCAATTTGACTCATCATCTCCCTGGAGCATCCTTGATTCTTATTGAAAGCTTTTAAACAAACACAATGCTTCCTTTACATAACTATTGTATGTAGGACAAGTGGAGGATGCATCAAAGATTTGTGTGCGCGTGCGAGTGCGTCTGAGCTTTGTCCAGTCCATAAGCTGTGGAAAACAAGGAGAGTAAAAAAATAAAAAATAAACCCGCCATCACATGATAAGGTGCTCAGCACTTACAACTGGCTTTACGAGATGCTGAATGTGAATGTGCAGTGGGAGGTACACAAATCCCGAAGAGTTTGGCTCAGCAGGGGCTGTGATAAGACAGCAAAATATGGCCAGGGACATTGTGGGATTTGCTAGTTTAGCTTGCTGTCTGCTACATTCTGTGAAGTTAAATTGTATCAGTTAATTATCTCTATCTTCAACTGGGATTTATTTACTTCCTTAGTGTAAAAAAATTAAAACGAACCAAGGAAGACGCAGGCGAAACAGGACAACTGTGACATTTTATTTTCACAGATGCATCAGGGGAACATCGTGTCTACTATACACAATGTGTGTTTGAGTCATGTCCTTTATGTATACATCTATTTTTTTATTTCTGGAACGGGGGTTGGATAAAAATTAGGCGGTAGATGGGCTGGGGGTTTAACGGTGGGAAGGCAGATGGGGCAGAGGGGCGGAGGTCGATGCAGCACAGAACGAGACGGGGAAAGAAGGAAAGAGAAGACTTGGCACAGATCAGATAAATGAGCAGGAGGGGAGATGGTGGTGGGACGGTGGTAATCTCACAGTGGTAGAAAGATGGTGTTTCTGAGCATGTGACACAGAAAGAATACTGAATGAGTCTGTGAGAGAGCTTCACCAAGCCCTGAGACCTCCCTGGAGTCAAGACAACGATGGAGGAAATCACACCACAAGTTTCTGTCTTAAGTTTCACTAAATATTAGACAAATACACACGCTGAACCCTGCTGTAATGCTGCCTGACTGAATTTGTGAGAAAAAGGAAAACTTGAGAGGAATCTGAACCTCCTAGCCGGCTACAAACTCAACTTACAGCTTTTTACAAACTATTATTTAAAAAGGCGCACTATGAAATATTATTTAAAGGTTTGAGAAGTCACTCTGCGGCCTAAATATACAGTTAGTTCACCAAGCCATCATGTCATCATGTTGCTGCACCAGTTTCTGGACAAAATCTAAATTCTGTGGGCTTTAACACAGCAGCCAGAATCAGAACTGGCAGTGCAACATTGATTGTTTAGCATACAAACAATATTTTGTAGGTCTCATTGTGTCCTTGTGTGCTTTTATTTGCTGGTGATCTCACTCTCCTCCTTTCCTCTACATTCAGCTGCTGTCTCAGTGACAGGCGGGTAACCCTCTGAAGACAAAACAAGGTCACGTCGGCTGGCGCATATAGGCCCTAAATTGTTCTGAAAGTTGTTCTGGCATCTAATTTATCTTTTACAATTGTCTTTTTCCCACTGTGGTGTTGTAAAGTGACATTTCAGAGGTCACTGCAGACATTGGATTTTAAATGATGGACGCAAAAAGGTCCAGAATATGCTCACATGATGGGACATCAGAAGGCTTCCACCCTTGTTCTAGTACTGGAGAAACCCAGTAATCCAAACACCTAAACCACCTACAGCCCGTTGCATGAATCAAGCATTTCTACAACTAAATTGGGCTTTTTGTTTAAATTAAGAGATGTAGTATGCTGCAACTCAACAATCTTTTCTTCACGTCAAAATGGGAGCGATGTTGTGGAAAACCCTGCTGAGTTGACCTCCTTCCACCCCTTTTGTACCTCCATTCCATTGCGTGACATAATGGCAGAAGACAGCAGGGACACACTCAACTTTAAAGTGACAGTGGCTGTTGAGGTAGCCGTTCGTGCACAGGGGAGGCCGATGTCACAGTCCGATGCTCTTTAAGATGTTTTTTTTTTACTTCGTAGGTGAGCACACTGGCAGCTCGGACAATTAAACTCAGCTCTATTACAGTAAAGTGCCAAGGGGGCCAGGAGAAGTTCCCTCAGCTGTCTGCTTAATAAAATGATTCATTTAAGATGTCATTTATTTCCTAGCCAGGGAGTAGAAGAGTTATCACTGAAATCACGTTCTACTCATGTAAACTGAGCTCGTCTTTAATCTAAGAATGTCAGTCACTCTTTGTTCTGATTCAGCTGGCTCAGCATTTGTGTTTGTTTTGGGTCCTTGATCCCAGCCAGGTACCGGGATGAAGTGTCATCTCCAAACAGACATGCTTTGGCAGCCCTTCCTTCCAGGCAGGCGCGGCAGCAGACCAGACTAATGAATTACTTGACATCGGGGTCGAATCGAACCAAATCTTAGAGCGATTTGTGTGAACGAGTGAGGATTAGGTTATCTTTCAGCATTACGTAAAACAACACGGGCTGAGTTGATCCCTCTCTTTCTCTTTGCCCTCTTTTCTAATTTTTGCACACAAGGGCCGGTCTGTTTTCGTGAGGCCGGCGAGTGAGAGAGGCCTTTGCTTCCACCACTCCAATCTGAGTGATGAGAGGGCAGAGCAGAGGGGACTAACAGAGAAACTTTGTGTTCCGATGCACACGCATAACAGCAGTCATATGACAACAAGGAGGTGGTGGAGAGGGACGGGGGAGGATGAGGGAGAGCCGTGGCCTACTACACTGGTAGGACTCAGAAAGTATTAGGAATCTGGACAGAGAACATGCATGGATGCACATAGTTGACCATTCAGTCCGGATTGCAGTATGACATCATAAAACAATTAAAAAAAATGATGTTTACTACAAAACAAGCAACTTGTTTTGATGAGGGCGTGCAGGTTTGCTTTTCCAAGACAATACCTGAAAATGGCTCGAAGCTGATGGAGCATGTCAGTGACCTTAACAATCAGCAGTGCTTTATTTTATTTTAGCATTTAACACAAACATTTCTAACCCCAGAACTTGATTCAGTTTGGTGGAATGTGGTGGTAGAGCAGTTCGGTTTTGGTCATGGGATGTTTCTTCCACATCTTCTATTCACATCTCTAATTAAAACCCTCAAAATCTACAGTTGAACTGTGTCGTTGTGTTTTTTGAAAAAGTTTCTCCTTTAGGATTAAAGGGACGTTCCACTTTAGTCTGTTGACATATTCCCAATAGTTACAGAAGTGGGGGTGAGCCCAGTCATTCTCCTAATGTGACAGTATTATGTTAGCTTTAGCTTAGCATAAACAATGTAAGTGAATGGTACCAGCTAGCATGTTGTGTGGAAAAAGTCATGAAATGACAAATACTGATCCTAATTTTTCTTGGTGACCTCAATAATCATATCGACTGCGAATGAAAATAATAAATAACACAAAGGAGTTGATTTAGACTCGGGAAATTACGACAATGCACCTCTGTAAGCCGCCGCTGCAAGGCACAGAAACGTGATTCAGCTACCCCAAAAGATACCTTCCTAAGCCATCATTTTTGTCCGTCATGTACTTAGACATTTGTAATGCAACTTACTATGGTGTTCCTTCAAAATAACTGCACCAGGTAAATGCTTAGTAGCCACACATTTGCATTTACTGCATCGTGTCTTTGCACTTTACAGCAGCGCTTTGTCGCAATGTAGTCCCTAATCTAAATCTGCTTCTGCAATTCCTTCATGTTACTTATTATTTTCATTTGCAATTGAGATACTTATTGAGGTCACCAAGAAAAATGAATACCATCACTTTTCATACAAAATGCTAGCTGTTACCATTCACTTACATTGCTTATGCTAAGCTAAAGCAAACAGAATATTACCAGATTAAGCGAATGACCGGCCTGGAAACAAATGCTTTCTCCTACTGATCTAATTCAAAATTTTGTTTGGGGGTGGAATATCCCTTTTGCATCTTTGAGCATCGTTTTGTTCTCATGATGTTGAATCTCATATGTAAGGCGTTAGTAGCTGTCGAAGTGCTGCATGTGCTGCAGTTTCTTCTCTGCTTTCCTGTTTCATATATCAAATCTTTGTCTGCAGTTAAAATCTGCGAGTTGTAGAAACCTGAAAATGTCTCTTAGCCACAGTTTCCTGCAGTTGCAGAAAGCATTTATCTTATCTGTCAAAGCACAAATATCTTGCTGAAGTGAGCATTTAAATGTAGATTACAGTGTTATTTTTTTATTTGAAATAGTCTCAGTGTAAAGGATATGTGCTCACCACAAAGAAGAGACGCACACACTCTCATGTCCACCTTAAAACATCTCACCCCTTTGCATCAGACGGCCTGCTAGTAGACCCAGCCTCTGCACAAGCATGCCATTGTCATCGCCGGTTGGCCTTGTGACTCAGTGTGACCCGCTGGATTGGAGAAGAGAGAACACAGCCGCTGAGATCAGGAGCGTTAAACAGAGCATTATCACAAGAAAGCATCCAGCATACAGAGACCTCTCCCCCACCAACCCGTCCCCACCCTCCCCACTGTTTTTGGGGGAGTCCAGAGCAAAGAACACAGCCTGTCATTGTTTGATTTAATGAATCAGGCATCATCACATATGTACTAGCATGTTTCTAACAAGACCACTTTTAAACAAAAACTTGAACTGTTGAAAAAATAAACTTTTCATGAAGAAGGTATATTTGTTTTTTGGCTCATCTTATTTTTTCCTAACTCATGTGTGTTTTAGTCTGGAGCTCATTGGTATCCACACAGTTGCTGAGAAGTGAATGAAGTTCCAGGCTGACAAATGTGGTAAAATAATCCAAAGGTTATAGGACCAAATGTGAAGTGGCACA